CTTTTAAAAACTGTACTGATGAAGACCTGTGTGAGCTGGTCAGCGGGAAGGGTAACCCTGAGCCACACAGAGGTGTGGCCTCCTGAAGCATCAGTGGTATTTTTCCAAGGTAACACTCTCCACCTAGACCCGACTCACCACACACAGCCTGCAGGGTTTGACAAATTCTCATCATCCAGACAGCAATATCCCTTGATATCTTATTTTTACTGCGTCAAAAATTAAGTATTTTTCATGCTACTTCTGGGCTCTTGATTTTGAGATTCTGGTATTACTGTGTTTCATGCCAGAAAGAACCATTTAGTTAATATTTTGAGCAATAGCTTGAGAGGTGTCACAGCTGAAGGCATCCTGGTGGCAAAGGCAAGACGGAGTTCCTGGTCCAGGAGCATGTGACAGTGACCCCCACATCTGAGCAACCAGGAAGCAGAGATTAGGGAATTCTGCAGCTAAGCTGGCCTCTTCGCTTTCCCTCTCATTCGATCCAGGACCCCAGGATGAAGACACCGCATGCTGCAGCACACAGGATGACATCACCGCATGCTGCAACACATAGGATGATGTCACTGCATGCTGCAGCACACAGGATGGCATCACTGCGTGCTGCAGTACACAGGATGACGTCACCGCATGCTGCATCACATAGGATGACGTCACCGAATGCTGTGGCACACAGGATGACATCACCGCATGCTGGGTGGCTCTTCCACCCTCAGCTAAACTTCTCTGGAAGCACTCTCACGGATGTGCCCAGAGGCATGTCTCCTCGGTGACATGTTCACAATGAGGATGAGCTGTCGCAGTGACCACATGTCTAGATGTGTTAACACACTGTTCTACGTTTCTTTCATTCTAATTTGTTAACTTTAGGAACTCCACTGGGACACTTGTCTCAGTTACTAAATCCAACACATAGGAACAAGAAGGGGCTCTTTGGCTACATGACAATGGATGATTAAACTGAAAGGGAAATACAGGCTCACTGTCCTACAGGCTGCAAATTCACCAATGTCCACCTACTGAGAAGTATGACAAAATTTTCCTCCAGGTAATTTTGGGACGATGGTTTGTTTGGCCGGGGTGCTAGCAAGTGTTTTCTTTGCCTTCCTTGAGATGAGGCAGCTGCCGAGTCCCCTGGTGGTTTATTGATTGTGACACTGCTTTGATTTATTTCTTCATAAGCGTTTCTGTTTCCACTTCAGTTACCCTGTGCCATGACACAGGGGCCGAGCACTGAGACTCTCGGTGTAAGAGAGTCTGTGGTGATAGAAAACCCTTACAAGGACCGAGTGAGGGGAGAAAGGCATATTTTGAATTCCCATTCTGGAAGTGTGTGGTCCATTTTGACAGGAAGGCATGGCTGTTTGATCACGTGGCTGGTCTGGCAGTCATGAAGGAGAGGGGACCAGAGCCAGACCATAAAACCCCAAAGACCAGCCCCAGTGACAAACTTCCTCCAGGAAGACCCAGGTCTTAAAGATCCCCTCACCTTCCCAAACAGCGCCACCAGTTGGGGACCAGGTGTCCAAACCCAGGGCCTATGGAGGACATTTTAACCAAACTGCATCGGTGTGCTAGCATTCTGAATGTTAGTGCTGGTTTCCATGGAACTCAAAGTTGATTAAAGAATAATTATTCATTGTTTCAGTCTAAATGCGTTACTATTCCTGTTTGCTTTGCCTCTGGGTAGCAGTATCTGGTGGGATGGGAATCCAGTTTCAGCAGTAAAGCTGAAATGTGGAGTAGGGAGGTCTCCTAGCTGAAAAGGAGAGATGTAGAGAAAATGAAGAAAGCTCAATGCAACTGGAACTTTCCCAGCTCAGGGACAGTGCCCGGTACCCAGTGGGGAAAGAGGGGATGCATTCTGCTCTCTGTCACACCCCTCTGCCACCGAGACATGCCCTTAGTCCAGTAGTGTGGCTTTAGCGGGGTTGTGCCCTCTGTGATCCGTTGTGATGTCATGTGGTGATGGACTGTCCCCTAAGGCACAGAAAAGTGAGGAAAGCCAGGCAGAGGTGGGGAGGCTTTTGGTTTTTGTCAGAAATCAAATACTTTAAATAAGTATTTAAATAATTATTTCTCACTTATATATGTGTGTGTGTGTAAGAGAGGAGGGAGGGAGAGAGAGAGAGAGAGAGAGAGAGAGAGAGAGAGAGAGAAGAGGGAGCAAGGGATGAAGGTGCAGCTCTATTGGTAGACTACTTGCGTAACATTCACTAGACCTCAGGTTCCATACCCTACATTGCGTATTCCAGGATGGCATGGTGGTCCACGCCTGTAATACCAGCACTAGGGGGATGGAGGCTGGTGATCAGAGATTCAAGATCATCTTCGGCTATGTAGCAAGTCTGAGTTCAGCCTGAGCAACATGACTCCCTGTCTCAAGAATGAATGAATGAATGAATGAATGAATGAATAAATAAATAAATAAATAAATAAATAAATTCACTTCAAAGAATGCCAAGAGTAGATAACTCTTTTCTTCTAACACTCCTGCTCTGTAAAACCCCAGATCCCCAAATTGTGTGAGATACTGACTAGGGTGAGAGAGTGCAGGTCCCCCACCATCCGTTGTCTGTGCTCTCAGGGAGGCTGGCGCTGGTGAGCAGGAGACAACCCTGTCTTCAGTGTGTCTCAGCCTATGCGCTTGTTGTCTGAAGGAATCCAGCTGGTAAGCTTTCATGTGAATTAAGAGGCTTCTTCACACATTTTACAGCTATAGTTTACTTCTCATTTTAAATTCTTGTATTTTCTTATCTCCTCTCACAAAGTATCCACAGGGAAAATGGTTGTGTGATTGACTCATCATCTAAAGTAGACTATAGATACTCACTGATTATCATATATTTTTAAAAATAAAATCTTTTAAATTATATTTTACTTATTTACTGTGCTTATTTGTGTGTGTATGTGTGTACATGTGTGTATGTGTGTGCGTGTGTTTGTACGTGTGTATGTGTGCATGTGTGCTTGTGTGTGTATGCACGTGTGCATGTGTACGTGCACTCCATGGCACTCATGTGGAGGTCAGAGGGCAACCTGGGAGAGTGGGTTCTCTCCTTCCATCATGTGGGGTCAGGGGAGGGAGGCTGGAAGGGAAACAGAGAAAAGGGAAACTTTGAGTGTAACCTATTAAAATCTTAACATGACTGTGATGTTTTTATTCTCTAGCTCATCTTTAAAAGCAGAAGTGCCCCCACTGTTATCCCAGTACTGAAAGAGAACAGGTGTCTCAGGAGACAGTATTTATGTCTTTGTCAGGCTGGTTTTTCAAATTATACTCTCAGGAGCTCAGGCTGTGTTCCCTAGTTTCCAAAAGGTGACTTTGCAAGGCAAGTTTTTTCCCCCAGTAATTAGAGGCATTTATCTGAGAACTCGTTGGGCTTCAGCAGTGAAGTCATGGGCTGCCAGCTCTATTGCTATGGACTCCTTCAATTACAGGAAATGGCATTTCACCTTCATGCAAAATATTAGTAAATTAAAACTCCTCACTCTGCATCTATTGGGAAAATCTGTTCAGCTCTCGACAAGGAACACAGGGAGTCATCCACACACTCTGGTAATACCTTTAAGCCTTGTACATATCAATTAAAATTCCGGCTTTGCTCCCTGCAGTTGGGATTTACACTGCAGGCTTCATTTCTTTTATCATAGCACAAAGCAGAAGTCAGCAGCGCTGGTAGGTGAGAAAAACACACAAAAACCAAACACACACACACACACACACACACACACACACGCACACGCACACGCACACGCACACGCACACGCATGAATGTACATGCACACAGAAACATACGTACACACACACACACACAGAGCCATTGAAAAACCCACCCCAATGTTCCCAGCTCTTTCCTAGAACTCAGTATCTGTTTTAAGCCAAAACATAAATGACCCCTGGCATGGGCGTCAACTCTAGACCAGATTTACAACCCTGACTCAAAGCACAAATCACCATGAATATATCAAGACGGAAAAGAGTACCATCCAAACACCACAGCTGTCTCTTTAGTTCTAAGGGCATCTCAGTCCAACCAGACATGGTTTAGCACAGGGTCACAGGAGCTCTGGGAATGGGCTTCAGTCCCTACATCAAAACTGGAAAGTGGGATGAGTGTACCTGGCTTTCACCGTGGAGCGTGCCGGCCCATAGGCAAGAGCTCTCAGTCTGCCCCAGAGGGGCAGAGGGCAGGACAGAGAAGTCTGATGCTGCCTACCAGAGTCAGCTGCCAGGAAGCTGCTGTGACCTTTGTGGCATGAGGAACTTTTTTTTTTTGTGGCCTGTGATCTCCGGCTTTGCTGTGACTGAATCAGACCTGGGACTATTGTCAGTTGTCAGTTGTCAGTGGGGCTGGGCTGTCCCCTCTGAAGGCTCATCCTCTAAAAGTGAGGGAGCTGAGGACCCAGTGCCATCCTTCACCAGCACACTGACTCCCAGTAACCACAGAACCAACTGAGGATATAGGAAAATGTTCATTCTGACACGTGTGTGCATTCATTGCACCGTATTATAGGAGCAGAAAGACGGACACCTCCCATTTCAATACCAGCTCTCATTTCCAGGAAACAAGATGGCAGAGTCAGGCTGTTACTTCATATGGTACATGACAAAGTCCTACATACAAGCCAGCTGCTGTCTATACGTCTACTGATAGTGATACTGTGTGGTGAACAGAGAAATGGGGAAATGTTGCTTAAAGCTACCCAGACTGTCGCTTTGAAACACTTCAGACTTGGACGATGTGGGCTTGTAGACAAGATCAACACATTCTCTTTTATAAAAATCAAACTGAAATGCAAGGTTTAAAAAATCATTATGGTTAAATCGAGGAATATTATTAAAAATGACTGCTTTAAGTATTTTTAGTTGATACTACACATTGTCCCCAGAGCCACTTCTTAAGATCGAGGAACTTTCTAAGTGAGCACACACACGGGCCGCTCACAGGTCTGTAAGACCACTCTTGTGCGGTTATGCCCCAGTGAAGCCAACTTACAGTCATGATGAGTCCTTTCTCCTGGAAGTATTTCACCAGCGGCGCGGCGTTCTGCTTGAAGTTTACTAGTCTCCTCTGGGTGGCTTTCAGATTGTCATCCGGCCGTCCCTGTTGCTCTGCACGCTTCACCAGTCTCTCTCTGAGCCTTTGGTTGGCACAAGCCAGGAACACCACCAGGTCAGGGGTGCAGATCTGCAGGAAGCACAGACAGGTAGGCAGGTATTTTAGGTACCAAGCAATGACAGTAGCATGACTCTCCCATGGGTCTGCAGCAGTGGCCACACCCTCAGCTCCTTAGGCCATTTCCATCGTATTTCCCGAGCTGCTGTCTACACAAGACCACAACTGCCCAGTCCCATTGCAGTCCCTGTAAATGACAGCCAACCCCATGTGGCAGTATGTGGTGGCCCTTTATACTTCAAAAAACATCTTTCCTGTCCATGCACACATACATTTTCAGGTCGAATAAAGAACAATGCAGTCTGAACTTTGCTAGAGCATACATAACTTGATTTTGGAGGAGAGATGGTCACCGGGCCATAGCTGTCTGCAGCAAATCCATGCACCCACTGTTACCATTCCCCGTTGCTGTTTTAAAGCTGGCTACCATATGCTAAAGGCCCAATACTAAACTATTTCCTTATAATATTAATATTAAATGTTATAGCATTCTACAAGGCGAGAAACATCAAGTTCATTTTGTACTTGAACAGAGCAGGGCTTTGAGTTCACACAGTCACTAAGGTCAGCGTTGAATCTGGGCCTGTCTGGTCTGTACTCTCTGTTCCTTTCCTTGTCACACAGCACCAGGCAGTCCAGAATCCTTCATGGAATACCACAAAGTTACATGGATATATGTGAGAACTGGCGTGTTTAAAAGGTAATGTGGCCAGGAAGTGAATGCCTTTACCGCTGAGCATGGGAAGAAACTGAAGGTCTAGTGGTTTAAAGTAAGAGTCTCCAATTTAAAAGGCAGTTGCTTCCAAGGCCTGTGAGGTACCTCAGTGGTAAAGGTGTTTATCACCAGGGTCGGCCGACAGCCTGAATTTGACCCCAGGACCCCTATGATGGGACAAAAGCACCTCCCTCCAAGTTATCCTCTGGCTCCTCATGCACTCTGTGGCGCTAAAGCATATGCACACACACTCACACACACACTCACACACACACACACACTCACATACTCACACACTCACACACACACTCACACACTCACACACTGACACACACACATACACACACACTCACACACTCACACACACACATACACATACATGCACACTCATACACTCACACACACATACACATACACATACACACACACACAGTCACACAATACACACACTCTTATACACACACGGGCACACATACACACACACATACACACACATATACACGCTCACACTCATACATACTCACACACATACACACACATTTATGCACACACATGCATGCACACACGCATGTGTGCACACACAAACAACATAAAATAAAACTTTGAAGGAAGAAAAAAATTGACCATGAGGCTGGAAGGATTTGTGTCAGGGCAGAGAGCTGAAACCACAGCGCACTTGTGCCCTCCTTTGCCAATATGGCTGTGTGAGAGGCGGTCTCTGTGTTATCCACAACACTCCATGAAAGGAGATGCCCACAACAAACGCCAGACATTTCAGCCTTGCTCCCCGGCTCTAGCTTCCATTACTCCGTGTGATTCTGGGTCTCCTTGGACGAGAATTTTAAATTTTGTTGTTGTTTTTTCCCCTTATAATTTATCCTCTTCAGACTCCCATGTGGGTTTTTTCTCAAGTCTTCAATTGTATTTTCCCTGGCTCCATCCAGGCTTGCTTTCTTGCAGCGGCTTTCCTGTTTGGCTTTCATCTGCACCCTGCATTGATTCCAAATGTGCGCTTTCCACTGACTCCCAACAGCCCTGGGTCTTGTGTTTTCAGATGCTTTTGTGGCAAATGAGGGCACAAGTCTTTGGACTCAGCAAAGTGATCCACACCCCGGGCTGTGGTTTGTCTTCAGCAGCCCTTCCGCCCCTCCCTGCGGCCCCCAGCCTTGCAATCTCAGCCTCACTAGGAAAGGGGCTGAGAACAGAATGACGTCCTCTCCAGCTTCCATCTGGAAGCTGTCCCCTGGCGGGTGTCTGTCCCCCTGGCGGGTGTCTGTCCCTGGCTGGTGTCTACCCCCTGGCGGGTGTCTGCCCCCTGGCAGGAACACACACATGTGTATGCACACACACCACCTCACACACACACACACAGGAACATGCATGTACTTATACCATTGACACACACAGAAAAATACACCCCAAAATGGAAACCTTAAAGACTTGGAAGACCACCTGTGCTTTTTATGACATACAATCGGAAGATTACTGGAAACTAAAACTATACTTTCTAAAACACTGTGCTATAAAATTTGCATTTATTATTGTATGTGATATCATCCTGATAGGACATAATGAAGGACACACTTAAAATTACTTTAGGTAAATTATGTAAGGAAGAAGGCAATTATTGACAACAAATTAAACTATTTTGTTTGATAATACTACATACTAAAATACAGGGGGAAACCCCAAACTTGAAGTTCCATGTCAGTATTGGATGCAAGTAAAACATCTTGTAGATTTAAGCCCTTGCACTGTGCACCCATTTGAACCCACCGGTTGGTGCTAGTACGCTTTGAATTTTGTTCCAAGCGAAATGAAGAGGCTTCTTCTATGGAACACAGTGAGGTCATAAGCAGTTTAATATTCTACACTTTTGCCTTCAGTTGACTTCTGTATTTTACACTTGGAATAAATTGCACTTGTTAATTAACATTTAAATTAGAGCTTTTGAATAGTCATTTTAGATTTATCAAAAAATGGAGTAAGAAGTATAAAGTTCCTTCTTGAGGATGGAAGGCCAGTGGGGAGAGAAAAAAAGCCTTGAAATGGAATTGCAAAATTACTTAATTTTATAACTGTGATTAGACTGATGTCTTTCCTTGGTATTAACTGAAAAACATATGACTGTGAGTTCAGAACAAAACAGAAATTCAAGCATAGAACAGCAAGAACCAGCACAGCAGCTGGGCAAGCAAGTGACCTGAGGCAGCTGCCAGTGGCCTAGCAACTCTACACGCCAGGGTCCGTCCTTTGCTTAGGCCTCACAGTCTCCAGCAACACTCCATTGAAAAGGGAAAAATATTGCTGGGTGCACCCCTTTAATCCCAGCACTCAGAAGGCAGAGGCAGGCGGGTCTCTGTGAGTTCAAAGCCCAGCTTGGTTTACAGAGTGAGTTCCAGGACAGCCAGGGCTGCACAGAGACAACCTGTCTTGACGAGAGAGACAGAGACAGAGACACAGAGAGAGAGACAGAGAGAGGGAGAGATTTAACTTGCTTGTGCTTTTCTCTCAAAACTTAAAAAAAAAAAAAAATCCCAGCAGACACCGTTGTGTGAACGGGGAGTGGAAACCATAAAGGCTCCATCAAGTGTGTGGTAAGAAAGAAGCCCATTTGCGGAAGAAGACGCAGGCCTCTGGGGCTCCTTCCCTGGCTTGATTGACAGCCCACCTCAATCTGGCTCCTTTACCTTTCTTAACAAACTGTGTGTTTCTGTCCCATGCCTAACTTAAAGGTGTGACTCTCCCTCCATTGACCTTCCCAGTGGCTTCTAGGATTTTCAACTAACCTGTACTATGTGTCCCCCCCATAAACATCTAAAAAATAAAAAATAACCCTTGATCTGCCTGTTAGTCCACTTCTGAATTCGTTGATTATCGAGACTAAGGACCCCCAAGGGGACTGTATTTCAGAAGAAGTATTCACCAAGTTGACTTGAGGCACACAGGTTAGGACAGTATCCCTAGGCAGAAGGGGCCATGTCGTGCTTGGCACACCTGTCCTTGGTCCTTATCCTCAGAGCATGAGCTGAGAAAAAGAATAAACAGCCAGATACACAATACCCAAGAACGAAAACAGGGATGCCACTTTGGTCTACACCACAGTGTATCTGAAACAGTTGCTAGTGTTTTCCCATGGAATTAAGTCAGCATGTCTTTTCCCTGCATCGCTTGGATAATTCAGTCTCCCTCTATCCATTTTTAAGCCCTTAATTCTGTTCAAAGGATCAGCCTTTGTATAAGCGAGGATGTGCTCACAGTGTTGGCTCAAAAGGGAATTCATTTTTAATACTCTGTTCTTACCCAGCCGTCACTCTCTGCCCTGCTCTTTATGAGGCTGTGTTGGGAGAGCTTAGACTCCTAAACTGGATCAACCACACTGTCAGAAATCAGGAAGTAAAAATACTAAAGCAAAAGGACAATCAGAGTTGAAATAAAAAACTGGAGTCACATAAACTAAAAGATGGAAAAAGCATGGAGGTTGTCTAGACTGAGTTAACCCCCAGCCTGTAAGCATCTGCACTCTGGTGACAAATGGCTTTAAAACTGGAACATTCAATATGCTGCGCCGAGCACTGCCTGTTCCTGGTACTGACGAAGGTGGACCTGGGGCTGTCCCTGAGGACTCGCCACCAACACTGGGCTACTGTCTGCCTCCCCATTCTACCTCACGGCTTCTTTCGCACATCAAACATTTACTGAATGAAAACCTCTGAGGCTGGGCTAGGTCACCATGAAAGGAAAACAGACGGATAACTGGATTTATCATCTATTTAAAAAGATTTTATTCTTAAACTTAGTGTATATGTTTATCTCCGAATGTGGGTTTGAGTATATCAAATGCCCTGTGCAAGAGGAACAAGTACCCTTAATTGCTGAGCCATCCATCTCTTCAGTGGGTAACTTCATCGTGGACGGGAGTGATATGATGTGGAGATAATTTCTGAGCACTTTTCAACAGGGCCAGGGAACAAACCTGGTAGCATGACTCACCCATCCTAGTTAAATAGCAGCTGCAACAAGTCGTTTTATTGCTCAGCTTTTTAAAAAGTCTAGTGAAGGGTGGTAGAAAATGTCACACTTGGGCAGACGCGATGGCCAAGTGAGTAAAGGGTTCCTGTTGCCAGGCCTGATGCTGATGGTGAACGTGGTGACGAGACACCCTTGTTGTCCTCTGACCTCCTCATGCGCACGGTGTCACACTTGTATCCATACATGTATCACACATGTATACATACATACATGCATACATACATACGTAACTAAAAAGAATACTATACTGATCTTGACAGACATT